ACACTAATTGGACCAATTCCTAAAAAAAAATCCCTAATTTCTAAAAAAAAAAAAATGTATATCATGCAAATATGAATGCAACTAATGGATGCCTAAAAGTGTATCTCTCCCCCAAACTTAAATCAAATATTGTCTTCAATGTAAAATAAAAGTAAGAAAAAAGAGAAACTTCTCAGGTTTTGCACTTGAAGACTTAAAATTAAAGTTTTGAAGTTGAGTTGTCTTTATTTAGAGGAGACTTCTAGCATGTGAATTTCCATAATCTTGTCCCCCAAACTTGTTCAATGACCTGGCCAAAATCAAAGAACAACAATTTATGCATTAACCTAGGCCATAAAGAGAAAAAGAAAAGAAACAATTAAAAGAAAATCTGAACTATAAAAGAAAAATAAAAGAAAAGAAAATTTTATACTTGGGTTGCCTCCCAAGAAGCGCTTAATTTATAGTCATTAGCTAGACTTTCTACCACTCCAAGGTGGTTTTGGATCAAATCGTAGGGCATGTCCTTTTGGTTTCTTAAATCTTGGGTTTCTTGCCCTTAAGTTGAATCCACCATAAGATTTTCTCCAATAACTATTTTGAAGTGGTTTGGGTTTAGGCCAGCAAATGTGCCTTCCCAATTCTTCTAGGAGTGCCCCCTTTGATTCCAAGGAAGATGATGTGTTCAAGCAATTTATGTATTCTTTGATGGAGTCTTTTTCTTGAATAAGGTAAGTCTCAAATGAATCATCATAAGTGTTTTTCTACAAAATCTCATCAACTATATCAATAACAATATAATCATTAAAATCAGATTTGGTTAAAGGAGACTCCCCATTGAATACTTCAAATGACACCTGAGCTTTTTCCTCTTCCTCCTTAGGGACATCCTCTTGTTTAGTTTCTGCAGGCATAATTTTTACTTCTCCAAGTTGTCCTCCAATCTCCAAGGGTAAGGTGGTTACCTTTTCTTCTTGATTTTTCATTGTTGCACTAGGTAACTCACTTTGTATCTCTTCAGCAACTAAGTTGAGCAAATGAGTTGATTGGACCTCCAGATTTTTATTCAAACATGTCTCCTCTTCTGGAGCTTGAAACCCTGATTGTGGCTCCAATATATCTTCATTATTCCATGAGG